AGGGTCAGGTGCGTGGGGCTGTGCGGAGTCGAGGCCCTTCGTGCGGGCAGCCGGCTGCAGTGGCAGCAGCGCCTGGGGAGGGGGCAGGGGCCTGGAGCCAGACAGCCCCGCGCACAGAGACGCAGGCTCCATCCCTGGCCTGCTACAGGCCCCTGCTCTGCTCTGGGGGTAAACAGGCAAGGCTGGGGCCCACACCTCTGCTCTCGGCCAGCCCTGGCTCCAAGGCCGCGGTGCCTGGCACCCTGCAGGGACTCCCCTTCCCAGCTTTGGAGGGAGGAGTCAGCTCCTGCCCTGGGGAGCTTGCAACACCCGGCTCCGCAAGACCAGGTCAATCCCCTGGGTTGGGCCCTGCAGAAGGGGAGCTAGAGAGAGCCCAGCCTGGGTAGACCAGCATTCAGCCCTGCCCCCACGTCCGGCCCAGCAGGGCTGCAAGGGCACCAGGAGAGACAGCCCAGCTCCTGCCCAGTTGGAGGGAGGAGTCAGCTCCTGCCCTGGGGAGCTTGCAACACCCGGCTCCGCAAGACCAGGTCAATCCCCTGGGTTGGGCCCTGCAGAAGGGGAGCTAGAGAGAGCCCAGCCTGGGTAGACCAGCATTCAGCCCTGCCCCCACGTCCGGCCCAGCAGGGCTGCAAGGGCACCAGGAGAGACAGCCCAGCTCCTGCCCAGCCCCACTCAACCCTCCCCCCAGGCTGGACGCTAGTGCCACTAACATGACATTCCCCATTGCTCCCCCAGCCAAACGCAGCTGGCCGCTGTTGCAGGAGCGCCGAAGGCTCCGTGGGGCCAGGCTGTCCCAGCACGGTCCTGAAGCCACAGGGGCCTCAGGTTGATGGGCGAGGGCAGGGACCAGGGTAGCATGGATACAGGGGAGGGGATGCTGGAGCCAGCCTGCTCCCCCAGGCTGGGGGAGGCCCAGAACTGCTTGGGTGATGGCCTGGCCCACGCCAGGGCTGCTGGGTCTGTGCCACGGCCAGGACACCTCCTCTATCCTCACTTATTTATTCAAGACAATAGTATAAAAAAGTCCAGTGGCAAGAAGGAAGCTACAAATGGAGACGTGTTCTACCCCCCCACCCCAGCAGCCATGGGTCACATGGCCCCCCCAGACTGAATCCAGGGGTGGCGCCCAGGGGGACCCCTT